GAAGTTTGGCCTTTCCCTTCTTCCTTCTATCCCAATTTTTACCTTGCTCACCAACCCAATTCTTTCAAAGCTTTTCCTATACATGCAGACCACTATCCGAAGGTAAGGATATAAAACAAAGAAATATAAGGTTTCCATCACACTAAATTCACTTTTTATCATGTACATAGCTTTTTCCAGAAAATGCCAAAAGATATTGTGGTGTTTGCAAACATGGTGGTACACATAGATGTTGCTCAGAACTAAAGATGGTAGAAATGGGATGGTTGGTTGGGTGGGTGGGTAAGTGTTGGGAAATAAAAAACTATAAGAAATGTTTTGCCCTGAATTTTACAAATTTTGTATTCCAAATTAAATTTGGACACATTGCTAATTTTTTCATGAACATGTAGGTGCCTCATTTAATCCTTCTCCTTCCTTCTATTCTTTAAAATTGTATTCTTCTTATTTTTATGAGTCGATGGAGGGTAGGTTGAGAAAGGCGTTCTGTAAGCGCTATCTGCTTTAGATGGGATGCCCCTTGGTGTATTGGTGGGTGACTTTAATGTGGTGCACTTTCCGAAGGAAATGTTAGGTTGCATGGTGCTTAGTAGAGCCACGACAGAGTTCTCTTATTTATTTAGTGGGCTTGAGTTAGTAGATATACAGTTGGTGTAACTCATTAGAATTAGCATCAATGTCTTGTTTTGATAGATTCTTAGTTTCAGTAGCATAGGAGGAGGCATTTTTAAGACAACTCAATTTCACTTACCAAAGCCAGTATCAGATCATGTCCTTATCATGTTGGATAGCAAGGACGGAGTCCATTTAGGTTCAAGATATGTGGTTGCAAGCTGAAGGGTTTAAGGAGAAAATTAGTGGATGGCGATGAAATTATATAGTAAAGGTATGCTGAGCTTTGTGCTAGCAAATAAATTGGAGATGGTGAAGGAAGATTTAAGGATGTAGAACAAAGAAGAGTTCGGGAAGTTGGAGGTACAAAAGCAAAAGTCTTGGGGAAGTTTCACTAGTTTGATGAGTTAGACTGTATGAGAACTCTTTCAAATGTCGAAAAAGAAACACGAGAGAGGGCGAAGGAGGAGTTCTAAAGGACAGGTGATTGAGGTGGTAAGTGGAGGCACCTTCTCTAATTATTCTATATAGGGAAAATCCCTTATTACATGAAATTCTCCATTTTTTTAAGCCTCGCAAACAACATAAAATTCAATAATGTTTTACAAAACATGTTTTAGGTGTCACAATGTTCATTAAAAACCATTACAAACATTCAAATTGTGATAAATAAGGTTAGACCGTGCTTATCAAAGACTTTCTTGGCATTTTATGGTGCTTTAAAAAAAAAAACACACAACTACGATTTTTAGATTCCCATTACACATTGGCTCATACTCCTGATAGCTGTTACACACAACCACGACCTTTACACATATTAAAAAACCACTCAATTAAAAGTATTGAATAGACTCACAAATATATGATGACATGTCTTGCAATTGCACAAGCGTCATTAAACTCCTAACGTCCTAAAATTGAGTTTATATTAATTGAAGTGTCTTTTTTGTTTACCGTCTTTTCTTTTGAAGAAAAAAAATCCACAACCTTCAAATAAAATAAACATCTGAATGGCTGAAAACGTGAATTCCGAGAGAGAGAGAGAGAGAGAGTTTTAGAGAAAAAAAAGAGAGAAAAGAAAAGAAAAGAAAAAGTGTAAGACATATTAACCCAATTTGACATCCCACCTAAGCAACCCTAATTCTTGAAAACCCATGTATCTATGAAAGGAAAAAAAAAAAAGAACAAAATAAAAATCACAAACAAGTTGCAGAATCAATGCAATATAAAACTTTGAGAAACACAAATGCACAGAATTGAACCCAAATTAAAGCTAAAATCTGCAAGAAAGTTAATGTTTTGAGGCTTACCAACAACCCTTGATCCCTCTGAGCCCATTTCTTGCTGCATTTGGAAGCAGAGCTAGGGTTTCTCTATGGCTAGAGAGAGAATTTGAGAGAGAGATTGAAGAGGAAGAAGTGCTAGCTGATGAAGACTGCACTATTTTTACCCATTTTTACCTTTTGTAATACTTGGTTAGGATTATTTTAATATTATTTATGAGATGAAAAAGAGTCAACATGAAGTTTTCATGCTTGGCAGGTGGGTAAAAATGGTACGTGGGCTGCTGGAAATCCATTCGTGGTTTGATGTGGGTCTGGCCAGTTTAGGCCTAAGTTTGAGTTTAGCTTGAGACTCTTAAGTCAGGACCTAAGTTATCCGTAGCCCCGCCCATCAGCCCTTTAACCCATTCAAGATTCGATCCGCTCGAGATTTAATGCCTTTTTAAATAAAAAAATAATAAAATTTTGATAAAAAAAATTAAAAGAATTTGTTCAGCCCCGTCCAAGGCCGAGCCTAGGCCCAAGTCCAGGTCCACCAATCTACTGAAGGCCCAAATATCTCATCAGCATACGCATAATTTTTTAACTGACAAACCGATCAGACTCAATTTAAATTTTAATACGAATCCGCAAAACCTGACATGACCGGCCAAGGCCCAAATAAGCTGACCCTGGCCAAATTTACACCTCCACTCACTGCACTACCGATCAACACATTAACCGCCATTCGTCCATTTTTTTATTTTTATTTTTTTAATTTTTTATGGCTGATGATGGCCACTAACCAGCAGTTTGTCCATTTGCTATCACCTATAATTTAAAATACTTAAATAAAAGATAAATTAATTAAAAATTTTAAAAATTATGAATTAATTCTTGTAACAAGATAATTTTTAATTTTTTCAATATATTTCAATTTATTTTTAATTTGTACCATTTATCTATTTTTATTAAATAAAATTAATTTAAAAAATACTTTAAACAATACTCAATATAAATGTACGAAAAATGTCTTAAGTAACAAAACATTAATAATTAATAACAAAATAAAATAAAATAAATATAACATCTTTTTATATGTGAAGTATTCTCTTCAAAGTCTCCTACTAGAAAAAATTTGGGCCTTGGAAGATTTTAGAATCTCCTACTGTAAATTCTCTTCAAAAGAGGGCATTCATCAATTTTGTGCCGCCCCATACCTCTCCATAGTGCATTGTGTGATGATATATAGATTAAAAATTTCTAAATAAAGAAAGTACAAGATAATGAATGAGCTATCAAAATTAATTGAATCTATTAATAACTCCTAAACGATAAGATTTACTTGTATTTGGATATAAATAAATAAAAATAAATGAGTGCATTCAATACATTGGAGCTCTTTGAGCGACTCCTTTTCTAACTTTTTGCCTCTTAGGTGATGATTGTGTTACAATTTCTTCATCGCTTCTTTTGCTACCCAAGTCTTCATCTTTCTCATTGTCATGGTCAGACGCACCTCTACTGATAGAGAAAACCTGTTAACAAGAATAATATGATGGTGTGTAATATTGTGGCAAAGTTGAAACAAATAAGCTTAATAGTCGTTGATTGTTTTTCGATAGTTAAAAAGAAAAACAAAGAACAAAAACTAAACCCTCAAGGGTTGGCCTAGTGATAAAGGCTTGGGACTTAGGAGTTTGCTCCTCTCTAAGTCTCAGGTTCAGAACCTCTTAGGTGCTATCAACTCTTGTGTTGAGCTAGTCCATACGGAGCTCTGTTTTTAAATGGGCCCCCGCTAGTGGATGGTCTCCCAGAGATTAGTTGAGATGCGCGTAAGCTGGTCCGGACACCTTGAGTTATCAAAAAACACAAAAACTAACCTTGCATGCAATGCTGCAATAGAGGGAAGTGCTGTCTTGCAAACTCCTTTGACAGATGATGCAACTATGATCTTTTGAATTATGTTGTTGACTTTGTTGTTGTTGTAGTGGTTGTTGATGCCTTTGCTTCAAGAATAGCACTTTAGTTTTATTTGTATGATATGCCTGTGTAAACATTGAACAAGGTGAAATAAATGAACAAGTAAAATAAGTATAATTAATTAATTAGGAAGCTATACCATCTGACAATAATATTATTTCCCTCTTCACGCTTTATAAAATGTATATTGCAATTAATATTAGATCGGTTGCAACTTTAAATGTTCAAAGTCAATCTACAAAAAAGACTTCACGTAAATGATTTGCTTTCTACAAATCATCCAAGGCCAAAATTGCAAAATAATTTTAGACAAAATGTTGTAAAAATAGAAAAAGGTACAGAAATTGTGTCTTATACTTTAATATACTTCCATTCTTGAGATTTATAAAATATATATAAATTCTCCCCTCATGTTTGATAAATTATAGCTCACCCCTTGAGATTTTCAATCATATAACAAATGGCATACTCCGTTAATCAACCTTTAAGTCAAACTAATAGAGTGAGATTTCCAATCATATAACAAATGGCTTACTCCGTTAATCAACCTTTAAGTCAAACTAATAGAGTGTATGACATAAGTATAAAGAATAAAAATCAAAAATACCTATATTAACATTTATAAAGTTGAACACTTTAGTTATTATTTTTCTTTTTCCTATCTCACCTTCTGTATTCCGTATTTTCTCTCAATTAAAGTGACACACCACTTTACTCACAATCCTCTCTCACTCTTGATTAATATTACTGTTATTATTGTCTACAATCATTAATGTGTTGTCGAGAAAGATTAGAGAATATTGTACAGGTATAGAAAGAGAGAAAATAAGAGTAATATTATAATTTCAATTGGTATTAGAGGATATTTGAGTGATTTTACTTCCAAAAAAAAAAAAATTTCTACCAATGAGATATTTTTAATTTTTAAAATGTAAATAAAGAATGCATATTTTTAACAAATCTATTGAACTGTATTTATAGTTAACTTTTACACAATTAAATGTAAAGCTTTGAATCTTCACAAAACACTATCGATTCACTACCACACCTCAATCAATCATGGAAAGGTTAAACAAATCCCATTTTACTTAGCAAAAATCAAATTAGCAATGGCCAGCTAAACCCATAATTTTAACGCCATGATTTATTATTATGTAAGGGTCCAAATGGTCCAAAACAATCAAATTAGCAATGCTTAGCTAAACCAATAATTTTAACTCCATGATTTATTATTATAAAATGGTCCAAATGGTGCTTCCAATATGCATATATGCATATAATTTTTGATTTTTGGGGTCAAAATAAACAAAGTGAAGAAGCAAAACTCATCATCTACCTGTATGCCCGAACAATTGAATAGCTTGCATAAATCTTTGCGATTGATCACTTCACAATATACGTATCTCCGAATCTTCAACATAATACGATGCATAAGATCTTCATTAGTCCATAAAACACTATAGTTGTTTCCCAATTTAAAATTCTAAAGTTATACACACACACACACACACACACACACACACACAAAAAAAAAAGAACAAGACACACACAAAAAAAAAAAAAAAAAAAAAAAAAAAAAAAAAGAGCAAGAACAAGTTAAAGAGACCTTAACATGTTTGTGAGAAGAATGAGCAGGAAGACAGTGATAACACAAAGCTAAAAGACAATCAATGCAAAAGTGATCGAGCTCGTTCTTCTTAGTATTCGGATGAGCGTTACACATATCAAAATACACTGTATTGTACATAATCGTCAGCCATGGAGGTACTTCTACACAGTCTTCCTACAATAAACAATCATCAACTTAATCTTCACTGATAAATTGCAAAGTGTTAAAAAAAAAAAATTAAAAAATTAAAAAAAAAAAAGGAAAAAGGAAATCATAAGTAAAATCAAATAGTTTGGTTTAATATAAACAAAATGAAATGTGAAAAGCTAGAGAAGAAGGATATGTGCACTTGATGTTTTGGTGCTTGAGGTCGATTGTTGATGCCAATGGCTTCTCTCATAATTTTTTTCTTTTTTTTTCACCCTAAAGGCTCACGTCTCCATCATCATTGTGAGCAATAAATAATATATATATATAGAAAGATATATATGATATGAGAGAGATAGAGATTGACTCAACAGGTAAGATTCCTTTTATATAATTGGTCACAAGAGTTTATTATTTTTATGGCATGTTAAAGGAAACATAAATCTACTATTTTTATGGCATGTTAAAGGAAACATAGATCTACCAAAATATAATAACAGAAAATATAGAATCACAATGTAGCATCAATGAATTTTACACACTAAGGTAGTGTTTGGAGGCACGTCAAAGAATTGTATAAAATGACTTCTAAGTCATAAGGCTTTAAATTATAGTGTACTGGACTAGCATCAGAACCGGTATTATGCACAAAAGATTTTAAATTTTATTAGAAAGTTTTTTTAAAGATTTATTAAAAAATATGGTGGATTTGTTCATTTTTTCATAATCATAATCTCTATTAGATTTTAATTATAAAAAAAAATTGTGATTTGAGAAGGAGTAAAGGATATGTAATTTGACTAACTGATTATTTTTATGTTTATAAAATGTAAAATCAATAATTTATCAATAGTTTGGCTTAATACAAAAAAAATGAAATGTGAAAAGCTAGAGAAGAAGGATATGTGCACTTGATGTTTTGATCTCTAGGCCGATTGTTGATGCCAATAGTTTCTCTCATAATTTTTTTTTTTTTTTTTTTTTTTTTTTTTTTTTTTGCCCCCCAAACCCCCCCCTCCCCCACTTTCTTTAATAAATAATATATATATATAAAGAGAGAGAAAGATATATATATATATATATACATGATATCAGAGAAAAAGAGATTAGCTCAACAATTTAGATTCCTTTTACATAATTAATCACAAGAGTTCATTATTTTTATGAAATGTTAAAGAAAACATATATCTACTAAATATAACAATAGAAAATATAGGAAGAAAAAGAAATTAACTCAACAGTTTAGATTCCTTTTACATAATTGGTCACAAGAGTTCATTATTTTTATGACATGTCAAAGGAAACATATATCTACTAAATATAACAATAGAAAATATAGGAAGCGATTAGCTTAACAGTTTAGATTCCTTTTACATAATTAGTCACAAGAATTTATTATTTTTATGAAATGTTAAAGGAAACATATATCTACTAAATATAACAATAGAAAATATAGGAAGAAAAAGATATTAACTCAACAGTTTAGATTTCTTTTACATAATTGGTCACAAGAGTTCATTATTTTTATGACTTGTCAAAGGAAACATATATCTACTAAATATAACAATAGAAAATATAGGAAGCGATTAGCTTAAGAGTTTAGATTCCTTTTACATAATTGGCCACAAGAGTTTATTATTTTTATGACATGTTAAAGGAAACATATATCTACTAAATATAACAATAGAAAATATAAGATCACAACGTAGTATCGATGGATCCTACACACTAAGGTAGCATTTGGACACTTCAAAGAATTGTATTGAAGTACTTCTAAGTTATAAGGTTTTAAATTATTTGTCCTAGACTAATATCAAAACCGAATGTATCACAGAAGATTAAATTTTATTAGAATTTTTTTTAAAGATATATATATATATATATATTATGAGAGAGAAAGAGATTGGCTCAACCGTTTAGATTCTGTTTACATAATAATTGGTCCCAAGAGTTCATTATTTTTATGACATGTTAAAGGAAATATAGATCTACTAAAATATAACAACAGAAAATATAGGATCACAATGTAGCATCAATGGATTTCACACACTAAGGTAATGTTTGGAGACACTTCAAAGAATTGTATAGAATGACTTCTAAGTTATAAGGCTTTAAATTGTAGTGTACTAGACTAGCATCAAAACCGGTGCCATGCACAAAAGATTTTAAATTTTATTAGAATTTTTTTTTAAGATTTATTAAAAAATATGGTGGGTTTGTTCATTTTTTCATAATCATAATCTCTATTAGATTTTAATTTTAAAAAAATTGTGAGTTGAGAAGGAGAAAAAGATTTGTAATTTGACTAATCGATTATTTTTACTTTTTTAAAATGTAAAATCAATAATTTATCAATACGTCTACACATATATCTCGCATGTGTCTCATTTTGTGTTTGGTGGTTTTGTCTCTAATATTACTCATAATTTATTTAAATATTACAGCTAACCTTTGAATTTATTGCCACATGTTGTTGTTAATAAATATCTAACTTGAGAAAAAATTAAATCATTATAGATGACTTAGAAAGAAATAAAAAAACAACAACCCCCCAAATAGTATATCAATGACTTAGGGAAAGAAAGTATTATTAAAAAAAAAATATTGACGGAAGTGAATGTTTAAATATTCTACAATCACCATCACATTATCATCCTCGATTTCTTAAATAAGATAACCATTTCAATTAGCTCAAAAATTAACTTGACACTCTAGAAATCTTTTTCTTATTATTATTATTATTTTAACACTCTAGAAATCTTTTTCTTATTATTATTATTATTTTAAAGATGCTTGAACGTCATAAATAACGATTGTAACCAAAAAAATTAACAAATGGATTACGAAACTTACTTTTCAAAAATATTTCTTGCATTTGCCTTGAATATGAAGGGTTTCTAATTTCTTTTCCCTCAAATTCCGTCTCTCATAAGGAGAGACATGAAATTTTATGAATAAGCATAATTTAACAAAATAATCAAAAAAGAAGTCATTAGTTAGATGTGATGGAAGATGCAATTGGAGAGCCAATTAAAATTCATGACTACAATATTATGTTGATTTTCAAAATTTGTGCGGCATTGTGAATCCATGAAGTAAAAGAGGTCAAGGTATATAACTATTGATTAATGTCTTTGGATTCTTGAATCCTTTCTCATTCCATTGTTTAATTATTCACCAAGATGACATGACGGATTTGCTTCCTTTCTACTCATCTTTTGTTTTTTTCTCCTCTATTAATAAACAAACATACCTAAACACGCATAAAAAAGCCTTATTATTTAAGACCAAAAATTAGATCCAAATTTCAAGCTTATTGATATATGTGGCAATCAGTTATAATATTAAAAGTAACATTCTCTCTTATATATTCTCTAATCATCAATCAATTATATCGCATTCACATCATTAAGTCTAAAAAATGAGTTCAGAAAGTGAGATTGTATATCATTTTTCTTATAAAAAAAAATCAAACATCAACCCAAAGAAAAAAAAATTAGGAAAGTAATATACAAGTCTATTTTTTAGACCCACTTTACAGACCCAGTGATGTGTTCGTTGATAATTAAAAAATATTTAATTATCAATCAATCAATTTCTTAACACATCACTGAATCCAAAATGTGAGTAATTTTTAGGTCTGAATAACCATACTCAAAAAAAAAAAAAAAAAAAAAAAAAAAAAAAAAAAAAAAAAAAACTAATAACACAAAATATGATCTTTTAAAAACATTCAATGTCTAAGAACCTAAACAAATAAATAAGAAGACAAATCATATATGTAATCTTTGTGATAGTGGAATTTTGCTCAGTCACGCAAAATGAGATGCAGCCTGCAGGGACTGTCGAAATGTTCGTCAACAAATTATATGCAAATTGCTTCAACTTTATACCTTCATTTCATTTATATAACTCCTACAATTGTAAATCATAAAGAAAGAAACCAATCCAACTTAAGAATAAAATAACGCTGTTATATTGGCACTCATCATATATTAATGGTGAGTGCCAATGTGAAGAGTAGAGAGAGAGAGTTTTTATTAAAAGTACATAATAGAGATGGACATTGCTATATATATAGTAAAAGGTAGATATTAATCCACCCCCCAAAAAAAAAAGTAGATATTAAATCAAATTTAAATTTAAAAATTGAAGATAAAATTAAAATCAACCGTGCTACGACCTCCAATGGGGGTGACCCCAGCACTCCCAACTCCACATGACCCCCTGTGAGAGCAAGACTTAAATAAAAAAAAATAAAAAAAAATTTAAACCATTCAAAAAACAGTGGAGGTGGTGGGGGTCATCCCCTATGGGGTCTCAAATATTATTGAATTAAAATAAACATTTTACAAAAAAAAAGTAAAAGTGAGGTGAGAGTTAATATATATATATATATATATATTGTGTTCATTTGAGGTCCTTTCCTTTAACAATAAACTTTGTAGTTAGTTCAAAATTAATGTATAATTTTTATTTTATAGAAATATATACATACAGCCTAAGATAATAAAATAGAATAATTTTAATTTGTAAAAACATTTGTATTTAAAATTAACAAAATTCTCTCCCTGCGTAGCACGGGTTGATTGTTACTTTTTTTATAATAAATAAATAAATAAAAAGTAAAAAAGTAAAAAAAATAAAAATAAATAAGTGCATTCAATACATTGGAGCTCTTTGAGCGACTCCTTTTCTAACTTTTTGCCTCTTAGGTGATGATTGTGTTACAATTTCTTCATCGCTTCTTTTGCTACCCAAGTCTTCATCTTTTTCATTGTCATGATCAGACGCACCTCTACTGATAGAGAAAACCTGTTAACAAGAATAATATGATGGTGTGTAATGTTGTGGCAAAGTTGAAACAAATAGGCTTAATAGTTGTTGATTGTTTTTTGATAATTAAAAAGAAAGACAAAGAACAAAAACTAAACCCTCAAGGGTTGGCCTAGTGGTAAAGGTTTGGGACTTAGAAGGTTCAAAACCTCTTAGGTGCTATCAACTCTTATGTTGAGCCAGTCCATACAGAGTTCTGCTCCTCGCTAGTAGATGGTAGAATTGGTCCCCCAGAGATTACTCGAGGTACGCGCAAACTGGTCCGGACACCTTAAGTTATCAAAAAACACAAAAACTAACCTTGCATGCAATGCTGCAATAGAGGGAAGTGCTGTCTTGCAAACTCCTTTGACAGATGATGCAACTATGATCTTTTGAATTGTGTTGTTGACTTTGTTGTTGTTGTAGTGGTTGTTGATGCCTTTGCTTCAAGAATAGCACTTTAGTTTTATTTGTATGATATGCCTGTGTAAACATTGAACAAGGTGAAATAAATGAACAAGTAAAATAAGTATAATTAATTAATTAGGAAGCTATACCATCTGACAATAATATTATTTCCCTCTTCACGCTTTATAAAATGTATATTGCAATTAATATTAGATCGGTTGCAACTTTAAATGTTCAAAGTCAATCTACAAAAAAGACTTCACGTAAATGATTTGCTTTCTACAAATCATCCAAGGCCAAAATTGCAAAATAATTTTAGACAAAATGTTGTAAAAATAGAAAAAGGTACAGAAATTGTGTCTTATACTTTAATATACTTCCATTCCTGAGATTTATAAAATATATATAAATTCTCCCCTCATGTTTGATAAATTATAACTCACCCCTTGAGATTTCCAATCATATAACAAATGGCCTACTCCGTTAATCAATCTTTAAGTCAAACTAATAGAGTGAGATTTCTAATCATATAACAAATGGCTTACCCCGTTAATCAACCTTTAGGTCAAACTAATAGAGTGTATGACATAAGTATAAAGAATAAAAATCAAAAATACATATATTAACATTTATAAAGTTGAACACTTTAGTTATTATTTTTCTTTTTCCTATCTCACCTTCTGTATTCCGTATTTTCTCTCAATTAAAGTGACACACCACTTTACTCGCAATCCTCTCTCACTCTTGATTAATATTACTGTTATTATTGTCTACAATCATTAATGTGTTGCTGAGAAAGATTAGAGAATATTGTACGGGTATAGAAAGAGAGAAAATAAGAGTAATATTATAATTTCAATTGGTACTAGAAGATATTTGAGTGATTTTACTTCAAAAAAAAAAAAAATTCTACCAATGAGATATTTGTAATTTTTAAAATGTAAATAAAGAATGCATATTTTTAACAAATCTATTGAACTGTATTTATAGTTAACTTTTACACAATTAAATGTAAAGCTTTGAATCTTCACAAAACACTATCTATTCACTACCACACCTCAATCAATCATGGAAAGGTTAAACAAATCCCATTTTACTTAGCAAAAATCAAATTAGCAATGGCCAGCTAAACCCATAATTTTAACGCCATGATTTATTATTATGTAAGGGTCCAAATGGTCCAAAGCAATCAAATTAGCAATGCTTAGCTAAACCAATAATTTTAACTCCATAATTTATTATTATAAAATGGTCCAAATGGTGCTTCCAATATGCATATATGCATATAATTTTTGATTTTTGGGGTCAAAATAAACAAAGTGAAGAAGCAAAACTCATCATCTACCTGTATGCCCGAACAATTGAATAGCTTGCATAAATCTTTGCGATTGATCACTTCACAATATACGTATCTCCGAATCTTCAACATAATACGATGCATAAGATCTTCATTAGTCCATAAAACACTATAGTTGTTTCCCAATTTAAAATTCTAAAGTTATACACACACACACACACACACACACACACACACAAAAAAAAAAGAACAAGAACAAGTTAAAGAGACCTTAACATGTTTGTGAGAAGAATGAGCAGGAAGACAGTGATAACACAAAGCTAAAAGACAATCAATGCAAAAGTGATCCAGCTCGTTCTTCTTAGTATTCGGATGAGCGTTACACATATCAAAATACGCTGTATTGTACATAATTGTCAGCCATGGAGGTACTTCTACACAGTCTTCCTACAATAAACAATCATCAACTTAATCTTCACTGATAAATTGCAACGTGTTAAAAAAAAAAATTAAAAAATTAAAAAAAAAAGGAAAAAGGAAATCATAAGTAAAATCAAATAGTTTGGTTTAATATAAACAAAATGAAATGTGAAAAGCTAGAGAAGAAGGATATGTGCACTTGATGTTTTGGTGCTTGAGGTCGATTGTTGATGCCAATGGCTTCTCTCATAATTTTTTTCTTTTTTTTTCACCCTAAAGGCTCACGTCTCCATCATTATTGTGAGCAATAAATAATATATATATATATATAGGAAAATATATATGATATGAGAGAGATAGAGATTGACTCAACAGGTAAGATTCCTTTTATATAATTGGTTACAAGAGTTTATTATTTTTATGACATGTTAAAGGAAACATAGATTTACTAAAATATAACAACAGAAAATATAGAATCACAACGTAGCATCAATGAATTTTACACACTAAGGTACTGTTTGGAGGCACGTCAAAGAATTGTATAAAATGACTTCTAAGTCATAAGGCTTTAAATTATAGTGTACTAGACTAGCATCAGAACCGGTATTATGCACAAAAGATTTTAAATTTTATTAGAAAGTTTTTTAAAGATTTATTAAAAAATATGGTGGGTTTGTTCATTTTTTCATAATCATAATCTCTATTAGATTTTAATTATAAAAAAAAAATTTGTGATTTGAGAAGGAGAAAATGATATGTAATTTGACTAACTGATTATTTTTATGTTTATAAAATGTAAAATCAATAATTTATCAACAGTTTGGCTTAATATAAAAAAATGAAATGTGAAAAGCTAGAGAAGAAGGATATGTGCACTTGATGTTTTGATGCTTGAGGCCGATTGTTGATGCCAATAGTTTCTCTCATTATTATTATTATTATTATTATTATTTTTTTTTTTAGCACCCTAAAGGCCCATGGGCAGCAGCGGACGCTGCAGAGAGGCGTAGGTAATACGACTCATAGAAATCACGTCAGTATGCCCAGTATGCGGAATACTGTACAAAGTTATGCCGATGTGGTGACTGGTACAAGGACTGCAAAGGACGAAAGGTATGGACCCGACGCTCATGTTAGAGAGATTGGAGGCAAATCGGTGATTCTCTCTTTCAAATCAAAAGAGGCAATGCATAGTGCAAGGAAGGAGCTGGAACTTTGGACCCACGAATGGTGTGAGTTCTTAACACATTGGACCAAGGACACAGTCATTGAGCATGAAAGGGAGGTATGGATTAGCTGTTATGGAGTACCCCTCAATCTCTGGAACTCTACCAATTTCAAGAGTATTGGCATGCTATGGGGTGATGTCATTGCGATTGATAGAAGCACACTTGATATGTCACACCTTTGCTGTGGTAAAGTCAAAATTGCAACCAAAGTAATGGAATGCATTAACCAAGTGATTGCTCTGGATTGCAAAGGCACACTTCACCAGATCCGAGTTTGTGAAGAGCAAGTAGTCGTCATTGAAAACCCAAGCTTCTCTAATATTCATGTGCAGGAGGCCTCTTCTGTTAATGCAAGCAGGGGGGATGAGCACTATGTTGACAATGGTGTAATCCTCAGGGAAGAGGATGATGAGGTGGCAATGACTGCTGAGGTGGAGCCTGTAAGGAACTCTGGCGGTGGCGTGTGTATACAAGGAGCATTAAAGGAAAAGGAGTTGTCGGGTAATGATAGTCTGATGGCTATCTCTGTAGTAAAGGAGACGGCTCGGGACTTGGAGAAGACGAGTAGTGGAGACGCATGCTTGAGGAATGAGACAACCATGTCAGACAACAACGGCCTTGCTGCAGATTGTGAAAACCGATTAGTTGATGGGCTTATCTCTACTCCTGGCTTTGTGAAAAGCGTCAGTGGGTCTGTTTTACCCCAGCCCAGTGTGAATCTGGAGGTGTTTCTAGGCCCAGTCCAGTTTGTTCATTCAAACCCCACCATGCCTCTATCAGTCCATGGGCCTAATAGGGTGGACCTAATAGGGTGTGCTGGCCCAACCAACTCTGGGCTGCATAATTCAAGTGCAATGGATACCTTATTACAACCCTGTCATGTTATAAGCAGAGCCGACCCAACTGTCTCTGGGTTGCATCAACCCGTAGCAGCTGCTCCCTTAATACAATCAAGCCTAAAGGGGGGGACTACTACAGCAGCAGAGGTTAGCAGTTATCACTCTGCAGCAAAGCCACACCCTTCGAAAGCTCCTAAGAAATCAAAGGCCAAGGCGAATGGAGGTGCAAGATTTAACAAGGGCGTGCTTCTCAGAGCTGCCACTATGGCACTGTCAGACTCCATCTCTTTGAGTAGTTGCTCGAGCAAAGGTAGATTCCTTCTAAATGAGGCACAAGCCACCTTACAAATTGGCAATCTTCTTGGCATTAATTGTGAAGGAAAAGAGGCCGAAGTTATTGAGAAGATCATGGAGCTTGAAACCCAAGATCTGGAAAGGAGGAAGCAGCTTGATGCTGCTAAAAAATCCTGATCCTGCAAGCCTAGGTGGTTTGGGAGCCTTAGTTTGTTTATCAATGAAGTTACTCTCTTGGAACATTAGAGGGTTGGGAAATCCGGAGAAAAGAAGGAAATTAAAGGAGCTTCTTAGAGCAAGAAAAGTAGATATTGTTTTAATTCAGGAGACCAAGAAGGCAGAGATTTCAGAATCATTTGTTAGATCCTTATGGCCTGGGGACCAAATGGAGTTCATGGCTGTTGACGCAGTAGGGAATGCAGGTGGGCTGTTGTGTATTTGGAAACCTGAGGTTTTCTCTTTGTCAGATTGTTGTTGCAGCAAGAATTTCATTTTGCTCTCAGGTATCACTTCTCTAAACTTTAGCTGTATTATTGTCAATGTTTACGCTTCTAATGATTTGCTGAAAAGGAGGAGACTGTGGGAACTATTATGCACTCTTAGAACCACTTTCACTCATCCTTGGTGTATTGGGGGTGATTTCAATGAAGTCAAAAGTATAGGGGAAAGGAAGGGTTGTGTCAGAAGGGATGTGGGGATGAAGGACTTCGGCAATTTTATTGACAAAATTGGAGGGGTAGACTTACCAATGTTGGGCAGACGATACACCTGGGGTAGTTCTCAGGATGGTGATAGGTGGAGCAGAATTGATAGGTTCATTTTAAATCCTGAGTGGCTTGAATCTTTTAGGTTCAAACTTTGGGGTTTGCCTAGATCTTTGTCTGATCACTGTCCTCTATTGCTAATGGAGGACGAGAGGGTTTGGGGTCCTAAACCCTTTAGATTTATAAACTCTTGGGCGATGCACACCAGCTTTTATCATACAGTGAAGCAAAACTGGGAGCACTTAAATTTGGAGGGCTGGGCAGGTTACATCCTCAAGAAGAAGCTCCAAGCTCTTAAATTGTGTCTGACAAAATGGAATAAGGAGGTATTTGGTAACATCAAGGAAAATCTCCAGGAGAAGGAAGCTGAACTTCACTCATGGGACTTGCTAGCTGAGGTTAGATCTCTCCAAGTTGATGAATCTGCTAGAAGGATGGAATTACTAGGGGAAGTGTGGAAATTGAGAAAGATGGATGAGAGACTTTGGTTACAGAAATCTAGGCTTAACTGGTCATTGAAAGGCGATAAGAACACCAGGTTCTTCCACATTACTGCCACAAACAGACATAACAGAAATTCTCTTGATTCAATCGAAGTCAATGGGATCTCAGTGGTGCAACCTGTTGAAATCAAAACTGCTGTGATGAACCATTTCAAATTACTCTACTCAGAGCAATGGAAGTGTAGGCCTAAACTGGGAGGCCATTTTAATTCCATTAACATGCCCAATAATGTATCAACCCTGCTCGAAAGTGTCTTCTCTGAAGAGGAAGTTTGGGCTGCTATTAAGGACTGTGATGGCAACAAAGCCCCAGGGCCGGATGGCTTTAACCTGTCCTGCTTCCAAAAATGCTGGAAGTTTATGAAACATGACATTTTAAACTTTATGAAAGAATTTCATGAGAACAGTACTTTGGCCAGGGGTCTTAATTGCACTTTTGTGAGTCTTATCCCCAAGAAAGATAATCCTGTATCTCTGTCTGACTTCAGGCCCATCAGCTTGATTAATTCCATATACAAAATCCTTTCCAAGGTTCTAACCAAGAGACTGAAGCTTGTTTTGCCTATCATTGTGAATGAAGCACAATCTGCATTCATTGGAGGTAGAAATATAATGGATGGGGTGCTAATTGCTAATGAGATTGTCGATTGGTGGAAAAAATCAAATAAGCAAGGGGTGATCATTAAGCTTGACTTTGAAAAAGCATTTGACACGGTGAATTGGGAGTTCTTATTTGATTTGCTCGCAAAGTTTGGCTTTGGTTCAAAATGGCTGGGCTGGATGAAAACTTGCTTAACAACTACAAGTATTTCCATCCTTGTCAATGGCTCTCCTACTGATGAAATCCAACCGGAAAGAGGTCTCAGACAGGGCGATCCACTCTCACCCTTCCTATTCAATATTGTAGCAGAGGGGTTGAATATCTTACTTTCAAGAGCCAAGGTTATGGGCTTAATTAAAGGTGCCAATGTTGGAACTAATGGGCTAGAATTCACTCACCTGCAATTTGCTGATGACACCATTCTCTTTTGCGAGGCGGATTCAATGGAAATCACAACTTTAAAGAGGATACTTAGATGTTTCGAGATTATGTCAGGCCTGAAAATTAACTTCCACAAAAGTGTTGTTTGTGGTATTGGAATCTCGAAGACTTTAGTCAATGACTTCTCATCAAAACTGAACTGTCTCACTCAGAAGCTTCCTTTGAAGTATCTTGGTCTTCCACTTGGTGCCAGTCCTAGAAGGAAAGCTACCTGGAAACCTGTTCTGGATAAATTCAAAAGTAAGCTTTCTGGTTGGAAAAAACGACTTTTATCGTTTGCTGGTAGACTCACCCTTATTAAGTCAGTTTTATCAAACCTCCCAATCTTCTACCTTTCCCTATTTAAAATGCCAAAGGGTGTAATCAAAGAGGTGGATAAAA